CCACCCACCCACTCACTCACCCACCCACCCACTCACTCACCCACCCACCCACCCACTCACTCACCCACCCACTCACTCACTCACCCACCCACTAACCCACTCACCCACCCACTCACCCACCCATCCACTCACCCACCCACCCACCCCCCCACTCACCCACCCACCCACCCACCCCCCCACTCACCCACCCACCCACTCACTCACTCACTCACCCACCCACCCACCCACTCACCCACCCACCCACTCACCCACTCACCCACTCACTCACCCACTCACTCACTCACCCACCCACCCACTCACTCACCCACCCACTCACCCACCCACTCAACCACCCACCCACCCACTCACCCACCCCCCCCACTCACCCACCCACTCACTCACTCACCCACCCACTCACCCCCCCATTCACTCACCCACCCACTCACTCACCCACCCACCCACCCACTCACCCACCCACTCACTCACCCACCCACTCACTCACTCACCCACCCACTCACCCCCCACTCACTCACCCACCCACCCACCCACCCACTCACCCACCCACCCACTCACCCACTCACTCACTCACCCACTCACTCACCCACTCACCCACCCACCCACTCACTCACCCACCCCCCCCCTCACCCACTCACCCACTCACTCACCCACCCACCCACTCACCCACCCACCCACCCACCCACCCACTCACCCACCCACTCACCCACTCACCCACCCACTCACCCACCCACCCACTCACCCACCCACCCACTCACCCACCCACCCACTCACTCACTCACCCACCCACCCACCCACTCACCCACTCACCCCCCCACTTAATCACCCCCCCACTCACTCACCCACCCACTCACCCACCCACCCACCCCCCCACTTACTCACCCCCCCACTCACCCACCCACCCACCCACTCACCCACCCACCCACTCACTCACTCACCCACCCACCCACCCACTCACCCACCCACTCACCCACCCACCCACTCACTCACCCACCCACCCACCCACTCACCCACTCACCCCCCCACTTACTCACCCCCCCACTCACTCACCCACCCACTCACCCACCCACTCACCCACCCACTCACCCACCCACCCACCCACTCACCCACCCACTCACCCACTCACTCACCCACTCACTCACCCACTCACCCACCCACTCACCCACCCACCCACTCACCCACCCACTCACCCACTCACCCACTCACTCACCCACTCACCCACACACTCACCCACTCACTCACCCACCCACCCACCCACCCACTCACCCCCCCCCTCACCCCCCCCCTCACCCACTCACCCACCCACTCACTCACCCACTCACCCACCCACCCACTCACCCACCCACTCACCCACCCACCCATCCACTCACCCACCCACTCACTCACTCACCCACTCACTCACCCACCCACCCACTCACCCACTCACTCACCCACCCACCCACTCACTCACCCACCCACTCACCCACTCACCCACCCACTCACCCACTCACCCACTCACTCACCCACCCACCCACCCACTCACTCACCCACCCACCCACCCACCCACTCACTCACCCACCCACTCACCCACTCACCCACCCACCCACTCACCCACTCACTCACCCACCCACCCACTCACTCACCCACCCACTCACCCACCCACCCACCCACCCACTCACTCACCCACTCACCCCCCCACTCACTCACCCACTCACTCACTCACCCACCCACTCACCCACCCACCCACCCACTCACTCACCCACCCACCCACTCACTCACCCACCCACCCACCCACTCACCCACCCACCCACCCACCCACCCACCCCCCCCCCCCTCACCCACTCACCCACCCACTCACCCACCCACCCACCCACTCACCCACCCACTCACCCACCCACCCACCCACTCACTCACTCACCCACCCACCCACCCACTCACCCACCCAATCACCCACCCACCCACCCACTCACCCACTCACCCACCCACTCACCCACCCACCCACCCACTCAGTCACCCACTCACCCACTCACTCACCCACCCACCCACTCACTCACTCACCCACCCACCCACTCACCCACTCACCCACCCACTCACTCACCCACCCACCCACCCACTCACTCACCCACCCACCCACTCACCCACTCACTCACTCACCCACCCACCCACTCACTCACCCACTCACTCACTCACCCACTCACCCACTCACTCACTCACCCACTCACTCACCCACCCACTCACCCACTCACCCACCCACCCACTCACCCACTCACTCACCCACCCACTCACCCACCCACTCACCCACCCACCCACTCACTCACTCACTCACCCACTCACTCACTCACTCACCCACTCACCCACCCACCCACCCACTCACCCACTCACTCACCCACCCACCCACCCACTCACTCACCCACCCACCCACTCACCCACCCACCCACTCACCCACTCACCCACTCACTCACCCACTCACCCACTCACTCACCCACCCACCCACCCACTCACTCACCCACCCACTCACCCACCCACCCACCCACTCACCCACTCACTCACCCACCCACCCACTCACTCACTCACCCACCCACTCACCCACTCACCCACCCACCCACCCACTCACTCACCCACTCACCCCCCCACTCACTCACCCACTCACTCACTCACCCACTCACCCACCCACCCACTCACTCACCCACCCACCCACTCACCCACCCACTCACCCACCCACCCACCCACTCACTCACTCACTCACCCACCCACTCACTCACCCACTCACCCACTCACTCACTCACTCACCCACTCACTCACTCACTCACCCACTCACCCACCCACCCACTCACCCACCCACCCACTCACCCACCCACCCACTCACCCACCCACCCACCCACCCACTCACCCACCCACCCACCCACCCACCTACTCACTCACCCACCCACCCACTCACTCACCCACTCACCCACCCACTCACCCACACACCCACCCACTCACCCACTCACCCACCCACCCACCCACTCACTCACCCACCCACTCACCCACCCACTCACTCACTCACTCACCCACCCACCCACTCACTCACCCACCCACCCACCCACTCACCCACCCACTCACTCACCCACCCACCCACCCACCCACCCACTCACCCACCCACCCACTCACTCACCCACCCACTCACTCACTCACCCACTCACCCACTCACCCACCCACCCACTCACCCACCCCCCCACCCACCCACCCACCACCCACCCACCGATGGTGAAGACCAGCACAGCCCCCCCTATGAGTCTCCAAGCCGGCCTGTGGCCTCCCCCAGCGCCGCTCTTCCTGCTCACAGTGGTGGGGGGCTCCTCCAGGCAGAACTGGGGGGAGCTGTGGGGGCGGCCCCTCCCCCCTCCACCCTCTTCATCGTGGCCCCCCCCCACTCCCTCCTCCCCCCCCTCCCCCTCCTCCTCCTCCTCCTCCGCTGGACCCCCACCGCTGGCGTTGGAGTAGCGCGAGTAGGGGGCACTTTGTAGGCCCAGCTACACCACACACGGAGAGAGGGTGGGTGGGTGGGTAAGTGAGTGAGTGGGTGAGTGGGTGAGTAGGTGAGTGGGTGAGTGAGTGGGTGAGTGAGTGGGTGGGTGAGTGGGTGGGTGGGTGAGTGGGTGGGTGAGTGGGTGGGTGAGTGGGTGGGTGGGTGAGTGAGTGGGTGGGTGAGTGGGTGAGTGAGTGGGTGGGTGAATGAGTGAGTGAGTGGGTGGGTGGGTGAGTGCGTGAGTGAGTGCGTGGGTGGGTGAGTGGGTGAGTGGGTGAGTGGGTGGGTGGGTGGGTGAGTGGGTGGGTGGGTGAGTGGGTGAGTGGGTGAGTGAGTGGGTGAGTGGGTGAGTGGGTGGGTGAGTGAGTGGGTGAGTAGGTGAGTGAGTGGGTGAGTAGGTGAGTGGGTGGGTGGGTGGGTGAGTGGGTGGGTGGGTGAGTGAATGGGTGGGTGGGTGAGTGAGTGGGTGGGTCGGTGAGTGAGTGGGTGGGTGGGTGGGTGAGTGAGTGAGTGAGTGGGTGGGTGGGTGAGTGAGTGAGTGAGTGGGTGAGTGAGTGGGTGGGTGAGTGGGTGGGTGAGTGAGTGAGTGGGTGAGTGAGTGAGTGGGTGAGTGGGTGAGTGGGTGAGTGAGTGAGTGGGTGGGTGAGTGAGTGGGTGAGTAGGTGAGTGGGTGAGTGAGTGAGTGGGTGAGTGAGTGGGTGGGTGAGTGGGTGAGTGAGTGGGTGAGTGGGCGAGTGAGTGGGTGGGTGAGTGAGTGGGTGGGTGGGTGAGTGAGTGGGTGAGTGAGTGGGTGAGTGGGTGGGTGAGTGAGTGGGTGAGTGAGTGGGTGGGTGGGTGAGTGGGTGGGTGAGTGAGTGGGTGGGTGAGTGGGTGGGTGGGTGAGTGAGTGAGTGGGTGGGTGAATGGGTGAGTGGGTGAGTGGGTGGGTGAGTGAGTGGGTGAGTGAGTGGGTGAGTGGGTGGGTGAGTGGGTGGGTGGGTGAGTGAGTGGGTGAGTGGGTGAGTGAGTGGGTGGGTGAATGAGTGAGTGAGTGGGTGGGTGGGTGAGTGAGTGTGTGGGTGGGTGAGTGCGTGAGTGAGTGAGTGCGTGGGTGGGTGGGTGAGTGAGTGGGTGAGTGGGTGGGTGAGTGGGTGGGTGAGTGAGTGGGTGAGTGAGTGAGTGGGTGAGTGGGTGAGTGAGTGGGTGAGTGAGTGGGTGAGCGGGTGGGTGGGTGAGTGAGTGGGTGAGCGGGTGAGTGAGTAGGTGGGTGGGTGAGTAGGTGGGTGAGTAGGAGGATGAGTAGGTGGGCGAGTAGGTAGGTGAGTGGTTGGGTGGGTGAGTAGGTGGGTGAGTAGGTCGGTGAGCAGGTAGGTGAGTGGGTGGGTGGGTGAGTAGGTGGGTGAGTAGGTGGGTGGGTGAGTAGGTGGGTGAGTAGGTGGGTGAGTAGGTGGGTGAGTAGGTAGGTGAGTGGGTGCGTGGGTGAGTGAGTGGGTGAGTGGGTGGGTGTGTGGGTGGGTGAGTGGGTGGGTGAGTGGGTCGGTGGGTGAGTAGGTGGGTGTGTGGGGTGTGTGGGGTGTGTGGGTGGGGTGTGTGGGTGGGGTGGGTGAGTGGGGTGGATGAGTGGGGTGTGTGGGTGGGGTGTGTGGGTGGGGTGGGTGAGTGGGGTGGATGAGTGGGGTGGGTGAGTGGGGTGGGTGAGTGGGGTGGGTGAGTGGGGTGGGTGAGTGGGGTGTGTGGGTGGTATGGGTGGGGTGGGGTGATTTGGGGGAGTGAGGTGAGCAGGGGTCACCACAACCACGACCACACCCGGCGTGGCGTGTGCACCTAGCCTGGCACAGGCACCACGTGGGTGTCAGAGTCCCGCACAGTGCTCACCCTGCCGGCCAGTTGCCTCGCAAGAGCGGCCATCTTGAGTCGCTGTCACCACAGCGACGGTGACGCCGGCGGCGACGACGTCAGAGATGACGTCAGAGATGACGGCGGCGATGACGTCAGAGATGACGTCAGAGATGACGTCGGGGATGACGTCGTCAGCGACGATCACCAAGGCCGAAGACTCCACTCGCTGGTGGGCAGACCGTGAGGAACGGTGGCACAGAGAGACAAACACAAACACAATAACACATACACATTAACACATACACACATCCACACATTAACACATACACATTAACACACACACACATTAACACACACACACATTAACACATACACACATTAACACATACACACATACACATACATAAATACACATAACACAAACACACATTAACACGTTAAAACACACACACATTAACACATTAACACATACACACAAACATACACACATTAACACATTAACACATACACACATTAACACACACAAACAAATTGGCACATTAACACACACACATTAACACATACACACAAACATATACACATTAACACATACACACATTAACACATACACACATTAACACACACAAACACACTAACACATTAACACACACACATTAACACATACACACAAACATACACACATTAACACAATAACACATACACACATTAACACATACACACAAACATAAACACACAAACAAATACACACAACACATTAACACATACACACATACACACATTAACACATTAACACATACACACATACACACATTAACACGTAAACAACCTCGTCACGACAGTCTGTCTCTGTCTGTGTGTCTCTGTGTCTGTCTGTGTCTCTGTGTCTCTGTCTATGTGTCTCTGTCTGTGTGTCTCTGTCTGTGTCTGTGTCTCTGTTTGTCTCTGTGTCTGTCTCTGTCTGTGTCTCTGTGTCTCTGTCTGTGTCTCTGTGTCTCTGTCTGTGTGTCTGTGTCTCTGTGTGTCTCTGTGTGTCTCTGTGTGTGTGTCTGTGTGTGTCTGTCTGTGTCTCTGTGTCTCTGTGTGTGTGTCTCTGTGTGTGTCTCTGTGTGTGTGTCTCTGTGTGTGTGTCTCTGTGTGTCTCTGTGTGTCTGTGTGTCTCTTGTGTGTTTGTGTCTGTGTGTGTCTCTGTGTTTTTGTGTGTGTGTGTCTCTGTGTGTGTCTCTGTGTGTGTCTCTGTGTGTGTCTCTGTGTGTCTGTCTGTGTGTGTGTCTCTGTGTGTGTGTCTCTGTGTGTCTGTGTGTGTGTCTCTGTGTGTCTGTGTGTGTCTCTGTGTGTCTGTCTGTGTGTGTGTCTCTGTGTGTCTGTGTGTGTCTCTGTGTGTGTGTCTCTGTGTGTCTGTCTGTGTCTCTGTGTGTCTGTCTGTGTGTGTGTGTCTCTATGTGTCTGTCTGTGTGTGTCTTTGTGTGTGTGTCTCTGTGTGTCTGTGTCTCTGTGTGCCTGTGTCTCTGTGTGTCTGTATCTGTGTGTGTCTCTGTGTGGATCTGTGTGTGTCTCTGTGTGGGTGTGTCTCTGTGTGTCTGTCTGTGTGTCTGTGTGTGTCTGTGTCTCTGTGTGTCTGTCTGTGTCTCTGTGTGTGTCTCTGTGTGTGTGTCTCTCTGTGTGTGTGTGTCTGTGTGTCTGTGTCTGTCTGTGTGTCTGTGTGTGTGTCTCTGTGTGTCTGTGTGTGTGTGTGTCTGTCTGTGTGTGTCTCTGTGTGTCTGTGTGTCTGTGTGTGTGTCTCTGTGTGCTGTGTCTCTGTGTGTCTGTCTGTGTGTGTGTGTCTCTGTGTGTGTCTGTGTGTCTGTCTGTGTGTCTCTGTGTGTCTGTGTCTCTGTGCGTCTTTATCTGTGTGTGTCTCTGTGTGTCTCTGTGTGTGTGTCTCTGTGTGCGTGTGTCTCTGTGTGTCTGTATCTGTGTGTGTCTCTGTGTGTCTCCTGGTGTGTCTCTCTGTGTGGGTGTGTCTCTGTGTCTCTGTGTGTCTGTATCTGTGTGTGTCTCTGTGTGTCTCCTGGTGTGTGTCTCTGTGTGGGTGTGTCTCTGTGTGTCTTGTGTGTCTGTGTGTGTCTGTGTGTCTGTGTGTCTCTGTGTCTGTGTCTGTGTCTCTGTGTCTGTGTCTCTGTGTCTGTGTCTCTGTGTGTCTGTGTGTCTCTGTGTGTGTGTCTCTGTGTGTCTGGTTGTGTGTGTCACTGTGTGTCTGTGTCTGTCTGTCTCTGTGTGTCTCTGTCTGTGTGGCTGTCTGTGTGTGTGTCTGTCTGTGTGTGTCTGTCTGTGTGTGTGTCTCTGTGTGTCTCTGTGTGTGTGTCTCTGTGTCTCTGTGTGTGTGTCTGTGTCTGTATGTGTGTGTCTGTATGTGTGTGTCTGTATGTGTGTGTCTGTATGTGTGTCTCTGTGTGTGTCTGTGTGTCTCTGTGTGTCTGTCTGTGTGTCTGTCTGTGTGTCTGTGTGTGTGTCTGTCTGTGTGTCTGTCTGTGTGTTTGTCTGTGTGTCTGTGTGTGTGTGTCTCTCTGTGCCTGTGTGTCTGTGTGTCTCTGTGTGTGTGTCTGTCTGTGTGTTTGTCTGTGTGTCTGTCTGTGTGTCTGTGTGTCTCTGTGTGTCTGTATGTGTTTGTCTGTCTGTGTGTGTCTGTGTGTGTCTGTCTGTGTTTCTGTGTGTGTGTCTCTGCGTCTGTGTGTCTGTGTGTCTCTGTGTCTGTGTGTGTGTCTGTGTGTGTGTCTGTGTGTCTGTCTGTGTGTCTGTGTGTGTCTGTGTTTCTGTGTCTATTTACCAGTCTGTCCGTCTCTCCCTGCGACTGCTATCAGGGAGACGGCTATCAGCGATGGTTTGCAACAATCTCCCTCTCTCTCTGGCTCCACTCTAGCCCAACGTAACGCCTACGACCCTGAGATAGGGGACCACGAGGAGGAGGAGGAGGTGGAGGAGGGGGGAAATGAGGTTGGATGAGGATCATCAGCTGTGCACACAGGAATGCACCCACCCCGGAGATGAGATTACGGTAGATCAACAGAGAAACTCGCTTACACGCAGTCTCTGTGTGGTGAGTCTGTGGGTCTCTGTGTGGTGAGTCTGTGGGTGTCTGTGTGGTGAGGCTGTGGGTCTCTGTGTGGTGAGGCTGTGGGTCTCTGTGTGGTGAGTCTGTGGGTCTCTGTGTGGTGAGTCTGTGGGTGTCTGTGTGGTGAGTCTGTGGGTCTCTGTGTGGTGAGTCTGTGAGTCTCTGTGTGGTGAGTCTGTGGGTCTCTGTGTGGTGAGTCTGTGGGTGTCTGTGTGGTGAGTCTGTGGGTCTCTGTGTGGCGAGTCTGTGGGTCTCTGTGTGGCGAGTCTGTGGGTCTCTGTGTGGTGAGTCTGTGGGTGTCTGTGTGGTGAGGCTGTGGGTGTCTGTGTGGTGAGTCTGTGGGTCTCTGTGTGGCGAGTCTGTGGGTCTCTGTGTGGCGAGTCTGTGGGTCTCTGTGTGGTGAGTCTGTGGGTCTCTGTGTGGTGAGTCTGTGGGTGTCTGTGTGGTGAGGCTGTGGGTCTCTGTGTGGTGAGGCTGTGGGTGTCTGTGTGGTGAGTCTGTGGGTCTCTGTGTGGCGAGTCTGTGGGTCTCTGTGTGGCGAGTCTGTGGGTCTCTGTGTGGTGAGTCTGTGGGTGTCTGTGTGATGAGTCTGTGGGTCTCTGTGTGGTGAGGCTGTGGGTCTCTGTGTGGTGAGTCTGTGGGTCTCTGTGTGGTGAGTCTGTGGGTCTCTGTGTGGTGAGTCTGTGGGTGTCTGTGTGGTGAGGCTGTGGGTGTCTGTGTGGTGAGTCTGTGGGTCTGTGTGTGGCGAGTCTGTGGGTCTCTGTGTGGCGAGTCTGTGGGTCTCTGTGTGGTGAGTCTGTGGGTCTCTGTGTGATGAGTCTGTGGGTCTCTGTGTGGTGAGTCTGTGGGTCTCTGTGTGGTGAGTCTGTGGGTCTCTGTGTGGTGAGTCTGTGGGTGTCTCTGTGTGGTGAATCTGTGGGTCTCTGTGTGGTGAGTCTGTGGGTCTCTGTGTGGTGAGTCTGTGGGTCTCTGTGTGGTGAGTCTGTGGGTCTCTGTGTGGTGAGTCTGTGGGTCTCTGTGTGGTGAGTCTGTGGGTCTCTGTGTGGTGAGTCTGTGGGTCTCTGTGTGGTGAGTCTGTGGGTCTCTGTGTGGTGAGTCTGTGGGTCTCTCTGTGGTGAGTCTGTGGGTCTCTGTGTGGTGAGTCTGTGGGTCTCTGTGTGGTGAGTCTGTGGGTCTCTGTGTGGTGAGTCTGTGGGTGTCTGTGTGTGGTGAGTCTGTGGGTCTCTGTGTGTGGTGAGTCTGTGTGTCTCTGTGTGGTGAGTCTGTGGGTCTCTGTGTGATGAGTCTGTGGATATCTGTGTGATCAGTCTGTAGGTCTCTGTGTGGTGGGTCTGTGGGTCTCTGTGTGATGAGTCTATGGGTCTCTGTGTGATGAGTCTGTGGGTCTCTGTGTGGTGAATCTGTAGGTCTCTGTGTGGTGAGTCTGTGGATATGTGTGATCAGTCTGTAGGTCTCTGTGTGGTGGGTCTGTGGGTCTCTGTGTGATGAGTCTGTGGGTCTCTGTGTGGTGAGTCTGTGGGTCTCTGTGTGATCAGTCTGTAGGTCTCTGTGTGGTGGGTCTGTGGGTCTCTGTGTAATGAGTCTATGGGTCTCTGTGTGATGAGTCTGTGGGTCTCTGTGTGGTGAGTCTGTGGGTCTCTGTGTGGTGAGTCTGTGGGTCTCTGTGTGGTGAGTCTGTGGGTCTCTGTGTGGTGAGTCTGTGAGTCTCTGTGTGGTGAGTCTGTGGGTCTCTGTGTGGTGAGTCTGTGGGTCTCTGTGTGGTGAGTCTGTGGGTCTCTGTGTGGTGAGTCTGTGAGTCTCTGTGTGGTGAGTCTGTGGGTCTCTGTGTGGTGAGTCTGTGGGTCTCTGTGTGGTGAGTCTGTGGGTCTCTGTGTGGTGAGTCTATGGGTCTCTGTGTGGTGAGTCTGTGGGTCTCTGTGTGGTGAGTCTGTGGGTGTCTGTGTGGTGAGTCTGTGGGTCTCTGTGTGGTGAGTCTGTGGGTCTCTGTGTGGTGAGTCTGTGAGTCTCTGTGTGGTGAGTCTGTGGGTCTCTGTGTGGTGAGTCTGTGGGTGTCTGTGTGGTGAGTCTGTGGGTCTCTGTGTGGTGAGTCTGTGGGTCTCTGTGTGATGAGTCTGTGGGTCTCTGTGTGGTGAGTCTGTGGGTCTCTGTGTGATGAGTCTGTGGGTCTGTGTGATCAGTCTGTAGTCTCTGCGCGGTGAGTCTGCAGGAATGCACCCTTAGATTAGATGCTCTCCAGATAAACTCACAACCTGAGTGGCTTGGTGAGTGAATGAGTGGGTGTGTGAGTGAATGGAGTGGGTGTGTGAGTGGGTGTTTGAGTGAATGAGTGGGTGGGTGAGTGAATGAGTGGGTGTGTGAATGAGTGGGTGAGTGAATGGAGTGGGTGTGTGAGTGGGTGTGTGAGTGGGTGTGTGAGTGAATGAGTGGGTAGGTAAGTTGGTTTGTGAGTGAATGAGTGGGTGTGTGAGTGATTGAGTGGGTGGGTGAGTGAATGAGTGAGTGTGTGAGTAAATGAGTGAGTGTGTGAGTGAATGAGTGGGTGGGTGAGTGAATGAGTGGGTGGGTGAGTGAATGAGTGAGTGTGTGAGTGAGTGAATGAGTGGGTGGGCTTAGTGAATGAGTGGGTGGGTGAGTGAATGAGTGGGTGGGTGAATGAATGAGTGGGTGTGTGAGTGAATGAGTGGGTGTGTGAGTGAATGAGTGAGTGTGTGAGTGAATGAGTGGGTGGGTGAGTGAATGAGTGGGTGGGTGAGTGAATGAGTGTGTGAGTGAATGAGTGGGTGGGTGAGTGAATGAGTGGGTGGGTGAGTGAATGAGTGGGTGGGTGAATGAATGAGTGGGTGTGTGAGTGAATGAGTGGGTGTGTGAGTGAATGAGTGGGTGTGTGAGTGAATGAGTGTGTGAGTGAATGAGTGTGCGAATGAGTGGTTGTGTTAGTGAATGAGTGGGTGAGTGAATGAGTGCGTGAGTGAATGAGTGTGAGTGAATGAATGAGTGAATTAGTGGGTGTGTGAATGAATGCGTGAATTAGTGGGTGTGTGAGTGTGAATGAATGAGTGAATGAGTGGGTGTGTGAGTGAGTGCGTGAGTGAATGAGTCAATGAATGAGTGGGTGAGGCCCAGCACCAGTTGTTCAGATACTCACTGCTGCTGCTACCACACTGAATGGTGATGGGGTAGTGGTGATGGTGATTGGGTGGTGGTGATGGTGATGGGGTGGTGGTGATGGGGTAGTGGTGATGGTGATGGGGTGGTGGTGATGGGGTAGTGGTGATGAGGTAATGGTGATGTTGATGGTGTGGTGGTGATGGGGTAGTGGTGATGGGCTGGTGGTGATGGTGATGGGGTGGTGGTGATGGGATAGTGGTGATGGGGTAATGGTGATGTTGATGGGGTGGTGGTGATGGGCTGGTGGTGATGGTGATGGTGTGGTGGTGATGGTGATGGTGGTGATGGTGCTGGGGTGGTGGTGATGGGATAGTGGTGATGTTGATGGGGTGGTGGTGATGGTGATGGGGTGGTGGTGATGTTGATGGGGTGGTGGTGATGGTGATGGGGTGGTGGTGATCGTGATGGGGTGGTGGTGATGGTGATGGGGTGGTGGTGATGGGGTGATGTTGATGGGGTGGTGGTGATGGTAATGGGGTAGTGGTGATGGGGTGGTGGTAGTGGTGATGGTGGTAGTGGGGATGATGTTGGTGGTGGTAGTGGTGATGATGATGGTGGTGGTAGTGGTGATGGTGGTGGTATTGGTGATGGTGGTAGTGGTGATGATGGTGGTAGTGGTGATGGTGGTGGTAGTGGTGATGGTGGTGGTAGTGGTGATGATGGTGGTGGTAGTGGTGATGGTGGTAGTGATGATGGTGGTGGTAGTGGTGATGGTGGTGGTAGTGGTGATGATGGTGGTGGTAGTGGTGATGGTGGTGATGATGGTGGTGGTAGTGGTGATGGTGGTAGTGATGATGATGGTGGTAGTGGTGATGGTGGTGGTGATGATGATGGTGGTAGTGGTGATGGTGGTGGTGATGATGATGGTGGTAGTGGTGATGATGATGGTGGTGGTGATGATGATGGTGGTAGTGGTGATGATGATGGTGGTGGTAGTGGTGGTGATGATGATGGTGGTAGTGGTGATGGTGGTGGTAGTGGTGATGGTGGTAGTGGTTATGATGATGATGGTGGTAGTGGTGATGATGGTGGTGGTAGTGGTGATGATGGTGGTGGTGATGGTGGTGGTGGTAGTGGTGATGGTGGTGGTAGTGGTGATGGTGGTGGTAGTGGTGATGATGGTGGTGGTAGTGGTGATGATGATGGTGGTGGTGATGATGGTGGTAGTGGTGATGATGATGATGGTGGTGGTGGTGATGGTGGTAGTGGTGATGATGGTGGTAGTGGTGATGATGATGGTGGTAGTGGTGATGATGATGGTGATGGTGGTAGTGGTGATGATGATGGTGGTAGTGGTGATGATGGTGGTAGTGGTGATGATGGTGGTAGTGGTGATGGTGGTGGTAGTGGTGATGATGGTGGTAGTGGTGATGATGGTGGTAGTGGTGATGATGGTGGTAGTGGTGATGGTGGTGGTAGTGGTGATGGTGGTGGTAGTGGTGATGATGGTGGTGGTAGTGGTGATGGTGGTGGTAGTGATGATGATGGTGGTGGTAGTGGTGATGATGATGGTGGTGGTGGTGATGATGATGGTAGTGGTTATGATGATGGTGGTGATGGTAGTGGTGATGATGGTGGTGATGATGGTGGTGATGATGGTGGTGATGATGGTGTTGGGGAGTGGTGGCGCAGTGATTAGCGCCTCACTACGAACCTGGCAG